GTCGTACAAAATACTGCTGCCACTTCGTATCATGGAATACAGTAACGGTATATTGTCGTACAAAATACTGCTGCCACTTCGTATCATGGAATACAGTAACGGTATATTGTCATCATCGGGACAAAACCTTGTCGAAACGTTGTACATTTGCTGTTATATTAAAGTTTTTCTTCATTACCCATTCAAGCCGTCTCCAGCCATTATTAGTGTCAAAGTGGGTTCCTCGTTATCGAATGTGAAATTATTATTAAAATGTGTATTAACATGTGAAATTATCAGTAACATTAATTCTCTTTACGAGGGTTGAGTCACTGTAACCACAGAGAATATACTGTAGCATTAAATGTAGTAACTGTATCTTTATGAAACTTGCCAAGCTTTTTAGTAAACATTACAAATCTTTTCTACACAAAAAATAGAATGTTTTAGTTAAGTATTTTTACTAAATATTTACCTGAGAATTATGAAACCTTTATTGAGTCAGTCCAAGTGCAAGGTGATTTTTATGTGAAGAATAAAAATACTTTTTTTTATCTTACAAGTTTCACATTTGATTTGCATAACCTCTAGAATCTCCTAAATAAATATCAAGTTTTTCAATAAAACTTTATTCTTTATCTGTTACTTTCTCTACCATAGCACTATATATGGGCTCAGTCTATTTGACCAACCTTGTAACCACCAATCAAAATTACAAAATAAATCTAATTTACGTTTCTTTTCTAGAATGAATGCATTTTGTAACAGACAGTTACGTATATTTATCCTAAGATATTCAAGTCCTAATGCATTTTGTAACAGACAGTTACGTATATTTATCCTAAGATATTCAAGTCCTAACGCATATTGTAACAGACAGTTACGTATATTTATCCTAAGACATTCAAGTCCTAACGCATATTGTAACAGACAGTTACGTATATTTATCCTAAGATATTCAAGTCCTAACGCATATTGTAACAGACAGTTACGTATATTTATCCTAACATATTCAAGTCCTAACGCATATTGTAACAGACAGTTACATATATTTATCCTAAGATATTCAAGTCCTAACGCATATTGTAACAGACAGTTACGTATATTTATCCTAAGATATTCAAGTCCTAATGCATATTGTAACAGACAGTTAAGTATATTTATCCTAACATATTCAAGTCCTGATGCATATTGAGACAGACAGTTACGTATATTTATCCTAAGATATTCAAGTCCTAATGCATATTGTAACAGACAGTTATGTATATTTATCCTAAGATATTCAAGTCTTAAAGCATATTGTACCAGACAGTTACTTATATTTATCCTAAGTTATTCAAGTCCTAATGCATATTGTAACAGACAGTTACGTATATTTATCCTAACATATTCAAGTCCTAATGCATATTGAGACAGACAGTTACGTATATTTATCCTAAGATATTCAAGTCCTAACGCATATTGTAACAGACAGTTACATATATTTATCCTAAGATATTCAAGTCCTAATGCATATTGTAACAGACAGTTACTTATATTTATCCTAAGATATTCAAGTCCTAACGCATATTGTAACAGACAGTTACTTATATTTATCCTAAGATATTCAAGTCCTAATGCATATTGTAACAGACAGTTACTTATATTTATCCTAAGATATTCAAGTCCTAACGCATATTGTGACAGACAGTTACGTATATTTATACTAAGATATTCAAGTCCTAACGCATATTGTAACAGACAGTTACGTATATTTATACTAAGATATTCAAGTCCTCTAACCTTCTCGTAACTGCTTTCACTTAATTGTATATATATTGATCTTTGAAATATATGTAACTACTAAACTTGCATAACAAGGCAATAAATCACCCAGCAAAAGCACATTGCAAGTTAGGGTAAATAAAGTACTGAACTACATCATGCATGAGCAGCTCACACACACACTCTGCTCACAAAGAAATGTCTTTACATATTCTTATCTTACCTGATAAGTATTTAATTTTTACATTTTACTTACTTTTATAACAATAAATAAAAATTTAATACATATGTATTACTCTCGAAGTTGGAATAAAAGCTAACCCTAATTTTTTGTAGGTTTCTAGTTGATTATTTCAAATTTTCAATACAGAATACAAAATAATAATATGCACAAAGAATACAATCTCCTGTAATTATTATACTTTAACTAGCTTTCTAAATTTGCTATAATTCCTTTGGCTGGTCTAGATGACTCGGCAATAGCAAAGAATAAAACTGTAGGTATAATAATTCAAAACCTATCATCAGAATGACCTAACCCTAAAGAAATTAAAATCTTCTCTTTCTATTGGTTACAAATAATCCAAAAGCAAATGTCAGAGAAAATTACTGACGTTTTTTGAAAGAAAGGATATGGTAAGTGGGTTTCACTTTCTGGTTTATATATCAGTATAGCAAGAAGATTGGAGACTAAAAAATCTATAAAATTAGATTATACCTTAGCAATACCTATATTATAAGTATGTAATCTGTATTAAACCCTAGAAGCTAAAATAGGGATAGAAAGAATATCCAAACTGGACAATTTAGTGTGAAAAAGTGTCACATGATACAGAAATGAAGACAAAAAATTTATCTAAATATTTTCGTTTGATATTAAAAAAATCAAAACTTAGACAACGGGAAATTTTGAATCATAAACCATGTTTCAATGGTAAATTTATTGACATACATTAATGAAAAAACAATTTAATTAACATTTACTGGTTTACAAAGTTAAAGAACCTCAGTGAATCCATACACCCTCAAGTGGATATAACCTCAACTTTATCACAGTCAGTTTTTTAGATACAAAGACAGAATCTTAAAAATGCAGTGTTCCATGGTTGTCTATCAATATAAATGTGTTGAGTATTGTTGGAGGAATTATGTCAATCCAAGATTTTCATCACTGAATATACACATTAAGAATCATACATAAGTTTATATATATATAATCAGTAATCCACTCAGGAGCTTCATTATTTTAAGCAAACACACAAAATGAGAATTTCTCAACATCAAGGAATTGCTACTATTTCAGAAACTAAGCAGAACTGATTAAAAACCTTAAAAGACTTTGGAATGTAAACAAAAATCACTTCAAAATATGTTAAAACTGTTTACTCACTCTTTCATCTGTCCTCCTAACATGCTCCATAGTTCGACAACATATCCGTCAAAACCACTGACCTGTAAACAGTAAAATTAACATATCAAACTAAACTTGTACACACATAAACAGTAAAACTGCTATATCAAACTATACTTGTACACACGTAAACAGTAGAGCTAACATACCAAACTATACTTGTAAACATGTAAACAGTAAAATTAACATATCAAACTAAACTTGTACACACGTAAACAGTAAAATTAACATATCAAACTAAACTTGTACACACTTTTACTGTTTATGTGTGTACAAGTTTAGTTTGATATGTTAATTTTACTGTTTACTTAACATATCAAACTAAACTTGTACACACATAAACAGTAAAACTGCTATATCAAACTATACTTGTACACACGTAAACAGTACAGCTAACATACCAAACTATACTTGTAAACATGTAAACAGTACAGCTAACACACCAAATTATACTTGTACACATGTAAACAGTATAGCTAACATACCAAACTATAATTGTAAACAGTATAGCTAACATACCAATCAATACACGTAAACAGTACAGCTAACATACCAAATTATACTTGTACACATGTAAACAGTATAGCTAACATACCAAACTATACTTGTAAACAGTATAGCTAATATACCAAACAATACACATAAATAGTATAGCTAACATACCAAACAATACACGTAAACAGTACAGCTAACATACCAAAGTATACTTGTAAACACATAAACAGTAAAGCTACCATATCAGAACAAGATAAGCAGTGAATAATGTTTCTACTGATTCATTCTTACATACCTTCCCAAAATCCACCAGCAACTGAGATACCTCAAGTTGACTGTTTACAGAAGTAAACAGCTTTGACAAGGAAGTGTATGTCCAGGACTCAAATATGACTCTTGGAACTGACAAAGAAAGAAGATTACTAATAAAAAATTGGTGCTAGAAAACCATGCTAAAACAGATGAAGTAAGTTTTATTACAGAGAAAACATTAAATTATGATATTAAAGTAGAAAACAATTACCTACAGCTTAATCTAGGTAAATCAGCTAATAATCCATGTATAATCCAACTTATGATGTAATATCCAGATATAGAAACCACTGCCAAGTAGTTAGAACAGCTTAATCTAGGTAAAGCAGCTAATAATCCAACTTATGATGTAATATCCAGATATAGAAACCACTGCCAAGTAGGTAGGACAGCTTAATCTAGGTAAATCAGTTAATAATCCACGTATAATCCAACTAATGATGTAATATCCAGATATAGAAACTAGTGCCAAGTAGGTAGGACAGCTTAATCTAGGTAAATCAGCTAATAATCTACGTATAATCCAACTTATGATGTAATATCCAGATATAGAAACCACTGCCAAGTAGGTAGGACAGCTTAATCTAGGTAAATCAGCTAATAATCCACGTATAATCCAACTTATGATGTAATATCCAGATATAGAAACTATTGCCAAGTAGTTAGGAAGCTTAATCTAGGTAAATCAGCTAATAATCCACATATAATCCAACTTATGATGTAATACCCAGATATAGAAACTACTGCCAAGTAGTTAGGACAGCTTAATCTAGGTAAATCAGCTAATAATCCACGTATAATCCAACTTATGATGTAATATCCAGATATAGAAACTACTGCCAAGTAGTTAGGACTGGTGTAACATCCAAGAGAAAGAAGCTATTGCCAAATAGAAGCAAAATTCTTTTTTGTTACGGCAACAGAAACTAAACTGATTTTATCCAATGATTGAAGTAAAATTTGGTATGCTTTGATGCCATAGACTTAAAACGTGTTTTGTTAAAAAAAACAAAAAAGTTTGGCCTTTTTTTACTATTAAACTCGTTATAGTTTAGCCACTGATCAAGGTTGTGAAAAACTTTCTTGTAGCATAAGTAGCAAGCCATGTACACTGTACTTCATGTTGCATACCATTATGGTACAGATATTACTACCAGCCATTACCGATGTACACTGTACCTTATGTTGCATACCATCATGGTACAGATCTTACTACCAGCCATTACCCATTTACACTATACCTTATGTTGCATATCATCATGGTACAGATCTTACTACCAGCCATTACCGATGTACACTGTACCTTATGTTGCATACCATCATGGTACAGATCTTACTACCAGCCATTACCGATGTACACTGTACCTTATGTTGCATACCGGTATGCAACATAAGGTACAGTGTACATGGGTAATGGCTGGTAGTAAGATCTGTACCATGATATCATGGTACAGATATTACTACCAGCCATTACCGATGTACACTGTACTTCATGTTGTATACCATTATGGTACAGATATTACTACCAGCCATTACCCATGTACACTGTACCTTATGTTGCATACCATCATGGTACAGATATTACTACTAGCCATTACCCATGTACACTGTACCTTATGTTGCATACCATCATGGTACATATATTACTACCAGCCATACCCATGTACACTGTACCTTATGTTGCATACCATCATGGTACAGATATTACTACCAGTCATTACCGATGTACACTGTACCTCATGTTGCATACCATCATGGTACAGATCTTACTACCAGCCATACCCATGTACACTGTACTTCATGTTGTATACCATCATGGTACAGATCTTACTACCAGCCATTATCCATGTACACTGTACCTCATGTTGCATACCATCATGGTACAGATCTTACTACCAGCCATTACCCATGTACACTGTACTTCATGTTGCATATCATCATGGTACATATATTACTACCAGCCATTACCGATGTACACTGTACCTCATGTTGTATACCATCACGGTACAGATCTAACTACTAGCCATTACCGATGTACACTGTACTTCATGTTGCATACCATCATGGTACAGATATTACTACCAGCCATTACCCATGTACATTGTACCTTATGTTGCATACCATCATGGTACAGATCTTATTACCAACCATTACCCATGTACACCGTACTTCATGTTGCTTTTTCTATTTTCAATGTCATTTTACATATTCTTGTAAGTTGATCTGTCCAACATTGTACTGAACTCCAAACCAGTAAGTGATTATATATAGACGATGACAACACAAACTATTCTCTACTCACAGTAAGTCTGGGGTGATCTTTGGTAGTCTAGGTAATCATAGAGAAGCCAGTAACCATGATAACACAAAGTATTCTCTACTTACAGTAAGTCTGGGGTGGTCTTTGGTAGTCTAGGTAATCATAGAGAAGCCAGTAACCATGACAACACAAAGTATTCTCTACTTACAGTAAGTCTGGGGTAATCTTTGGTAGTCTAGGTAATCATAGAGAAGCCAGTAACCATGACAACACAAAGTATTCTCTACTTACAGTAAGTCTGGGGTGATCTTTGGTAGTCTAGGTAATCATAGAGAAGCCAGTAACCATGACAACACAAAGTATTCTCTACTTACAGTAAGTCTGGGGTGATCTTTGGTAGTATAGGTAATCATAGAGAAGCCAGTAACCATGACAACACAACACATTTCTCTACTTACAGTATGTCTGGGGTGATCTTTGGTAGTATAGGTAATCATAGAGAAGCCAGTAACCATGACAACACAAAGTATTCTCTACTTACAGTAAGTCTGGGGTGATCTTTGGTAGTCTAGGTAATCATACAGAAGCCAGTAACCATGACAACACAAAACTATTTTAGCATTATAAGTCCATAAACTTTCCACTGACTCACTGGAGGACCAATACTATACTTCTTGATATAGTAGTAGTAAAAAAACACCACTGATGTGACTTTGTAGTGTGAAAAAAGTAAAACTGATGTTTGTGTGTACTATTAATGTAATTAAACAGATTTGTTCAGAAAATGTGGTAGTATAAACAAAAATGTAAGTTTCTGACTATTTTTGTGTAACATAATACAAAAGAAATAATACTGTTTAGCTTCTTTATCGTAAAAAAGTGAAATGTGTTTAAATTCTGATAATATTGAGATGATTATCAAGCGTGAATAATAATCCAAGTCCTGGGGACTGATATCAAACCTTTATCAGAAACATTTCAGCCAGCATCTAACTCTAGTAAACCAAAAATAATTTTAATTACCTATTTTTACTTTCTTGTTTGTTTTTCTAACTTCCGATATCCAACCTTTGTCGATATCATGTTGGCCTTCAATTCGATAACCTCCTTCGGGTTTTGGTTTCAGTTGTAACCAAACAGGTGACACGTAAGTAAACTTGGCTCCAAATAACTTAGCTATGTCATAACCATGACTGTTCCACTAACAGAGAAACAAACCAACAATTGTAATAAATGTAGATCAACTATTCTGATAAAATTGGTAATAGTAGATTAACTATGGCAATAATCTTGCTTATTGCAGGTTATATATTGTAATAATCTTGCTTATTGCAGGTTATATATTGTAATAATCTTGCTTATTGCAGGTTATATATTGTAATAATCCTGCTTGTTGCAGGTTATATATTGTAATAATCTTGCTTATTGCAGGTTATATATTGTAATAATCTTGCTTACTGTAGATCAACTATTGTAATAATCCTGCTTGTTGCAGGTTATATATTGTAATAATCTTGCTTATTGCAGGTTATATATTGTAATAATCTTGCTTACTGTAGATCAACTATAGTAATAACACCAGAGAGCAGAAGAGAATAAAAAAAAGAGAGAATCAGACAGTTAAATGTTAACTACTAGGTACGTTTTTCTATCCTGAAACACAACAAGTAAATAATTTCTTGTTTAAACTACACATCAGTTGGTAAATATGTCATGTTACTAGCTTTGAGAACTACGGTAAGTTTGAAAGAAACCTTTATGTTAAAGATGCCAATTGTTAATAAATATATTTATATGTAAAAAAGCAAAGAAGAAACTTGTCTCATTACACATAACAAAGAACCTCACTTGTAGGATGTCGATTCATATATACAGGAATTGCTTCAAGATATTTACTGAGACTACATCAACATCCTAATAACTCAAGAACCTGATATATAGGACTCTAAATAAATTTTAAATTCTTAAAAAAATGTTTTTCAAAACCATGCAGACAATAAAAAACAACAACAACACACACTACTTAGTTGGAGTAACAATAATAAAACAATTTACACTTCTTTTTCAAACCTAAAACTGTTTTGTCTTGTATGTCTTGCTAACTTACAACACACATATTACTAGAAACATTTTCATTTCTGTAATAAGTTAACACGTAAGAAAACCATCACATATTTTCCAACATTTATTCTGTATAAAAACTACTCACTGGTGTAACATATGCTATCACAGCTCCAACGAATTGACTTTCTGTAGCTTTGGGTACAGAGAAGGCTTTGTGTTCCTTTAAGATGTCTTTACTTTTAACATTTTGAGTCACCAAATCTCTTTCTACAACGGTCTTTACGGATGGTAGAGCTCCATCTACCTGTCAAAAGATAATATTTAATTCTTAACAACAAACACAATGTCTTCACTGCTCAAAGTAAAAATCCAGGAATGTGTAATATATGTAGCTAGGTTGTGTAAGAATAAAAGTCCTGGAACATGTAATATCTCTAGCTAGATTGTGTAGCAAGAAAGAAAAGTCCAGAAACATGTAATATCTCTAGCTAAGTTGTGTAGCAAGAAAGAAAAGTCCAGGAACTTGTAATATCTCTAGCTAGGTTGTGTAGCAAGAAAGAAAAGTCCAGAAACATGTAATATCTCTAGCTAAGTTGTGTAGCAAGAAATAAAAGTCCAGGAACATGTAATATTTCTAGCTAGATTGTGTAGGAAGAAAGACTACTTTGGCTATGATTTTGATGATCTGGTCTTTTAGGATACTATATTTGAGCTAATGTTTTATGCTACTCTAGATGAACTAGTGTTTCAGAACATTACACAAGAACTAGTGTTTTAGGACACTATAGATGAACTAGTGTTTCAGAACATTACACAAGAACTAGTGTTTTAGGACACTATAGATGAACTAGTGTTTCAGAACATTACACACGAACTAGTGTTTTAGGATACTATAGATGAACTAGTGTTTTAGGACACTATAGATGAACTAGTGTTTTAGGACACTATAGATGAACTAGTGTTTCAGAACATTACACACGAACTAGTGTTTTAGGACACTATAGATGAACTAGTGTTTTAGGACACTATAGATGAACTAGTGTTTCAGAACATTACACACGAACTAGTGTTTTAGGACACTATAGATGAACTAGTGTTTTAGGACACTATAGATGAACTAGTGTTTTAGGATACTATAGATGAACTAGTGTTTTAGGACACTACAGATGAACTAGTGTTTTAGTACACCATAGTTGAACTAGTGTTTTAGGACACTATAAATGAAGTAGTGTTTTAGTACACTATAGTTGAACTTGTGTTTAGGACACTATAGATGAACTAGTGTTTTAGGACACTAGAGATGAACTAGTGTTTTAGGACACTATAAATGAACTAGTGTTTTAGAACACTATAAATGAAGTAGTGTTTTAGTACACTATAGTTGAACTTGTGTTTAGGACACTATAGATGAACTAGTGTTTTAGGACACTAGAGATGAACTAGTGTTTCAGGACACTACAGATGAACTAGTGTTTTAGGACACTATAAATGAAGCAGTGTTTTAGTACACTATAGTTGAACTTGTGTTTAGGACACTATAGATGAACTAGTGTTTTAGGACACTAGAGATGAACTAGTGTTTCAGGACACTATAAATCTTCTGACACCTGCCCTCTGTTTAAAGACACACAAAAGCTAGTGTCAAGTGGCTCCTTTAAATCCTTCAAAACCCTTGGGTAAATATTATCTGGCCCATGAGTCTTGTTATTCTTTAAACTTCCCAATTTTTTGTTAACAAGCTCAGACTATGAAGTTATTAACCAACTGTCTTTTGATGAGTTAGTTTGGCCTGAAACTGATGGAAGACTTAATTTGATGATAAGCTATGTACATATGAAATGTGAAATCATAATAAGGTTTCTCTTGCACTGTAAAAAAAGACACAGAAATCATTCTTATCTATCTTCATCCTGTCAAAGTATTTTACGTAAGAGTAAAATACTGGAAATTTCAAATTTCATTACAAGTTTTTTCACTAGTGCTTTACAGCTTTCTTCTTGTTTTTTTTTTTTACTGATATTTAAATTAGGATTTAAAAGTATTTCCTACCTTTACTTTGGTTTTCTTTTCTTCACGGCTGGATTTTGAAAGTGTAGCATTTAAGTACAAAAAGCAAGATACTAAAACAGCAGCAAAAATAGTTAGCTGCATTTTTTCTTCAAATACAATCTGTAAAGAAAGAACAATATTATAGGAAAACACTTCAATAAACTTTCAAATTTAATGACCCATAAGTATGTTTATCTTTCAAATATAATAAGTACAAGAAATAGCAGCTTGCCCCTCCAGTGGCACAGTAGTAAGTCTGAAAGATTATAATGCTAAATAACAGATTTCAATACCCGTGGTGGGCACAACACAGATAGCCCATTGTGTAGCTATGTGCTTACCCATAAACAAAGAAAATAGCAGCTTTTGGATGTAGCTTAAGCAGTGTGATTTATCTGTGCAAGAACAATAGAACTTAGATACGCATTGTCTATTTACCTGAATAGCTTTACCAATAAGAAAAATGTTTTTAAACTAAGTTACAATATCAACTTCTAAACTTCATACAAGGCTAAGCAGATAACACTTATAGGCATAGATATTACTAACTTCTCAATTTACCTTTACGTTTGGGAATTTTAGGATATGGTGAGGAAGATAGACTGAATTAAATTTGTGATCCAATCAGCTGAAAGTGGATATATATCTTCCTAGGCCTTGTATTATAAATGAAGGTCCATTCTTAAGTAGATGAGTAGGGGGTTAATCTTTTCACGAATGCAAAGTTTTAAAAAGATGACTTTTGGATGAGATGAGATGGTTTTTACAAAAGGAAATAAATCAAGAATTGTAGTAAAATCAGCTTTACTAACATTCTATAAATAAAATAATGTATTCTTATCATTATAGTGAGTAAAGTAAGAACAGTATATTAATTTAGCTATAATCATTAATGGGTTGATTTTTAGTTCTGATCAATGTAGATAGCTTGCTTTGATCACAAGTTAATATAAATCATGTCCTTTTTTTAAAATAAACATATTACCTCCAATTGTAGTTCGAAGTATAATATAGTATTTTGTAATCACTAGTAAAGATTCACTAAATAATAACAAAAACATTCTGATCATGTTACTAAACGATGATACTCAAACACAATGAGCTTTCCCTGCATTTCTCCACAACTCATTCTAGACACCATGTTTTAAATCACTCATTTTTTTTAAAAAGTCTTTTATGTGGAACTTGTCAAGTGATTTCTGAAAATCCAGATATTCCAAATCTACACCTTTACCCTCAGCTATGTAGGATTAATAATGCAAGACTTTCCTCTAGAGAAACCACAGGACAACAAAACCAATGATGAAACTTGAAGTAGCTGATACTGAGGTAGAAAATGGCAAAGCAGACACATTTTGCCAACTTCTACTTATTAATAATAACATTGTTCATCATGGGTGACACTAACAATAAAATCCAATGCAATTATTATTCCACACTTGTTTTCAGGTTGAAAGAAAATTCAAGAACAAAATTTACCTTTTTAACTTATATTTTATCTTACAAACCAGTTTGTGAATATTTTTATATAGACTTCTTAGAAGAATATAATTTAAAATACCATGCATTGCTCAAGTTATAGCCAACCATTGGATATCTCTAGTATAACGACTTTTTTAATAATTAATTCACCAAGAAAAACTCATCACACTTTGTATTCATACAAACATTTAAATTTAAAAACTGGTGTTGCAAGAAGTGTGTAAATTGAAAGGTTTATAAATACGTTTTATTACATCGTGTTTTAGTTTTTGATGCTCGATTTAACTTATAATTATATTTTTTATAATTATTTCTTCATATTTCGTTCTTTATCAATATTAGTTCATAATGTCAACATCTCTCAGTAACTTTTGGCTAAAATAGCTAAATTTAGTAAAAGGTTGCGTGTGATTACCTTTCACTTTTTTGTAAATAAAAGTTTTAACTTCACAAGTTTTTATTCCTTACACTTAGTTTCTTTTAAAATGTAAACTATAAATATAAATAATGAACATCATAACATGACTTGTTCATTTCACTTTATAAGCACATTTTTTTATAAAAGGCTCATATTCTTAACTTAAAAAACATTTTAATAACAATAAAATACCCTTGTGTAATATTAAAATTATATTTTACATATAATTTCACAAATTAACAGTAACTTCTCCAACGTCCTTACATAAATTAAATTTAAAGCGGTATGAATCACGTTGCCAAACACGTAAACTCGAACGTTCCCAAACGTCACCTACAGGCTAGTAGTCACAAATATTTTCAACGAATTATATTACAGATTTATTTTCTTTTTATCAAAGGCAAAATTGAAAATATAACCTGTGAAGTGAAAAGAAAAGAATCTGTAATAATATCATTAAATAGTTGGTCCTCTATATATTAATTAGACACAAAACCATAATATTATTCAAACACTTAAACATATTTATGCTACTACATGGTGAGTTAAAAAGTTTCAAAAACCCATAAATGTTTTCATCCGACACATCAATTTACATTTTGCGATAGTCTGTCTGTTCGAACTTTTCTCGCAAATTTATTGATCAAAAGCTGCAAATTTCATATCGTTAGAAGAGCCTTTATCCGAGAAGTCCGAATTACATATTGGTTTTCCGTTCAGTATAACATTACGTTTTTTATATACTTGGTCAAACTTTTTAATGCAATGAGTATGCTACACGATGCAAATGTCGTTGTCATCACGTGACGACTAGCATCGCCGCAACGATTTAAACTTTAGTTTTTTCATTTGCAAAGTATTTCACACAAACAACACTTAACCCGCTTGTAATTTCCTTTAAAAACATGAACATTACACGAAACACAATGACTATGTGCTTTCTCGACTTATTTAGGTCTAAAATACGCATGCGCAGTTTGTTCAAAACCATATGCTTATCACTTTGTGAATACGCATTCAGACGTTTCTGCATATTCAGCTTAGTTTGCTTTTATTACAACTTTACACTTACTTTACTTTGCAATAATTTAACTTCGATTCGTTTCATAGATTGCTATAAGCACTCTTTAGCTACTTCTTTCTTTAGTACAGGTTTTATTATTCGTTTTTGTGGGTTTGTTTTAACTCACAAAACCCTGTCATACACTGAACACTCATAACTTTTTCAAACTCTGTACACTATTATAATTACCGTTACTATACTTTATTGTTTACTTTAGTGTAATTTTATTAAAGTTTCGTACATTTAGTTTATTAAGTAAAGTTACGTCTACGTGAGTTTGTTTGTCAGACTGCCTAAAATGTTTTCAAATAGACCAGGATTTATTGATCTAACACATAATGCTTGCTGGAAAGCGTAGTGTGTGAAAATGATAGAATAAGGAAAATTCAAGCGAAGGGCATGAAAACTACCACAAATGTTTTGCGGGTCGCGGCTAGTATTGAATAATGCACCACAGGTTTGTACATCAGTTAAAGCTATTAGTATTGGTGTTTGTCCAATAAATGTTCACTGTGGGGGTCAGGAGAGACAAAAAATCTAATTATCAGAGGGCTTCAAAGACCCATTTCAATATTTTATTTTAATGTGAATGTGTTCAAAAAGCACTAGTGAGCGGTTTGTTTGTTTTTAATTATGCAAAAAGCTACACAAGGGCTATCTGTGCTCTGCCAACCACGGGTATCGAAAACCGGCTTCTAACGTTGTAAGTCCACAGACATACCGCTGTGCCACTGGAGGGCCTATTGAGAGGTTGTGAGATGAGATAAAAGTATTGGCCATTTCATTAACATCACAGTAAAAACTTTTTTAGGTATTTAATACTACATGCGAACAGAGATTCGAAAATAATGTAAAAATCACGCTAAATATTAATCTATATAATATTAAAATGCATAATATTTCATTTTTCCTAATAGTTTCTGTAGACACCTCAGGAAACATCTTTCCATGCGTGGGCTGGAGTATCTTTCCCATTACTCTCGTGGTTAAACTAGTGGGTGTACCTCAAATTTAATCTTAACACACGTGAACACTTGCGTTGTGCACATATCCATTTTTCTTTATTGCGATATTGAGTTATGGGACTGACCTGCAAATAAGAGTTCTTAGTGGTGATAAATGAAAAATATATCCACCTCTCTCTTTAAGTTTAGTATAAACTATTTAATCTGCAGCTGTGCCATATATGTATCTTATTTTTAAATTTCCCGCGTGAACTGGTAAGGGTATTTATGAGTGTTATACATCCACTCATCAGCACCCCTCACGATGTCAACGAAATCCCATATAGAGCACAGCCGCAGTGTACAGAAGAAAAAGTCCGAACCGTATAGGTGACAACTGCAGTGAATGGGTTAATACAAAAAAAAAGGCGTGTGGTGCTTTTGTCAATTATAAAGTTTGCATATTTCAGCTGCATAACGTACTAGATATTCCGAAATACATGTCCATAGTTGTTGTTTTTTCAGTATGCCTGTATATTGTATTTGGTATTTACTGTCTTACACTAAATAAGCCCGGCATGGCCAGATGGTTAAGGCGCTCGACTCGCAATCTGAGGGTCGCGGGTTCGAATTCGCATCCCACCAAACATGCTCGCCCTTTCAGCCGTGGGGGCGTTATTATGCGACGGTCAATCCCACTATACGTTGGTAAAAGAGTAGCCCAAGAGTTGGCGGTGGGTGGTGATGACTAGTTGCCTTCCCTCTAGTCTTACACTGCTAAATTAGGGACGGCTAGCGCAGATAGCCCTCGTGTAGCTTTGCGCGAAATTCCAAAACAAACAAACAAACTTTTTATTTGTAGTCAAGGAACGAATGAAGATGAAGGTGAGAGAGCTAAGCCTGGTTCACTGGTTAATCATCCTTTTACAGGTTTCTTATTATTACTGAAACACTTTATAACGAATGAAGATGAAGGTGAGATAGCTAAGCCTGGTGCACTGGTTAGTATGCAAACACTGTGGATCTGAGGTTTGGTTATTCGCATCCCTTTGATGCCGATTATAAATCATGCTCCATTCGTTAGGGCCATAAATGTTTTATAAAAGTGATAGTGGGTGGTGTCGACTATCTAGTTGTCTTCCCTATAGTCTTTCACTTCAAAATTAGAGACGGCTAACGTAGACATAATTCTTGTAGTTTTGCGCGAAAATCAACAACAGCATAAAAAAATGTAGTTTTGCTCGAAAGTCAACAACAGCATAAAAAAATGTAGTTTTGCGCGAAAATCAACAACAGCATAAAAAAATTAGTTTTGCTCGAAAATCAACAACAGCATAAAAAAATTAGTTTTGCGCGAAAATCAACAACAGCATAAAAAAAATGTAGTTTTGCTCGAAAATCAACAACAGCTTTAAAAAAAACTATTTGAGAATGGTTAGTGGCAATAATATGCAAGATTCGTAGATTTAGGCCTACAGTTTCGCTAAGTAAGGAAAATACATTGTGATTTATGGTAAATGACCAATATTAACTCCAGAATGACTCCAGATGTATATTAACTCCAGGTGTCTATGATTCCATTGATTTTTTAAACACTATTTATGTACGAACTTTCTTGAGGATCTAAGATTCTGATGGCCACACGATATAAAGTGTTTCAGTAATAATAAGAAACCTGTAAAAGGATGATTAACCAGTGAACCAGGCTTAGCTATCTCACCTTCATCTTCATTCGTTATAAAGTGTTTCAGTAATAATAAGAAACCTGTAAAAGGATAATTAAACACTGCCTGTTGTTATTATTTCACTGTAAAAATATATCTCTTTTAGTGATTGTGGACATTGTGCTAAGTTTAATAAAGAATATTAAAACACATTTCATATTGTAATTTTAAGCATTTAAGTTTACAGTAATTTCTAGATAACATTAGAAGTACGCAGAATTAAACTTTTTTTTTCTAAAAGATGTTCTTGTTTTAGCACAAGGCTACACAATATGTTATCTGCGTACTGTCTACCAGTTTTCTGTTTGTAGTATTAGGTGCTACAAATATATTTTTGAATACAAACAGAAAACTAGTATATTTTTGAAGTATTAGGTGCTACAAATACAAACAGAAAACTAGGTATTAGGTGCTACAAATTCAAAAATATACTAGTTTTCTGTTTGTATTTGTAACACCTAATACTTCAAAAATATACTAGTTATCTGTTTGTATTTGTAACACCTAATACTTCAAAAATATACTAGTTATCTGTTTGTATTTGTAGCACCTAATACTTCAAAAATATACAGGTTTTCTTTTTATATTGCGCTCATTTTAAGAATGATATTACACGTGAAATGTTTAGTACAGGCATTGCTAAAAATTACTAACTATTTTGAAAACTATCTGTTACAGATATCTTTTGAATCATATCTCATTTTATTCTTTATCATATTTGTTGTTAGGTCAAGAACGTTTAATAGTTTGTATTATTTCTTCTGATTCAACCTCTGTTCTGGCATGATGTAGTGATTGAATCGCTCAACGTCCCCCTTTCAGCCTGGGGGAGGGGGGCGTTACAACTGATGGCCAATTCTACTATTGGTTGGTAAAGAGTAGCCCACGAGTTGGCGGCGGGTGGTGTTATTTAGCTTCTTTCCCTCTAGACGATCTTTTCAGCGTGAGGGACGGCTAGCACAGATAGATCTCGAGCATCTTTGTGCTGAATTCCAGAGATAAACAATAAACTTTTATGTATTGTTTCGGTTGTATGATAATTCTGTGAAACTGTGTTAGCAGATACTTTTTACAACGTAATTTAAATGAAATGACGAATTTGCGAAATCTTAAAGAAAATACTGGGCTTCGAATTTAAATTGGAGATTTTGGAATATGAGAATTAGTGGCAATACGAAAATTATTTTAGTATAGTCAGCCCTTCAGTGGCTCAGCGGTAAGTCTGAAGGCTTATTACGCAAAATATCCGGGTTCGATATCCGTTGTAAACGCAACACAGATAGCTCACTGTGTAGCTTTGCGCTTAACTAGAAACAAACATGTGCTGTTAACAATCAGCACTACTCACGGTGTCGAAACCTAGTTTTTAACGTTATAAGCTTTCAGACGCATCGCTGGGGGGACTGCACAACGTGTTAACTCGGTGCTGGAGCAGACTTATCGCTGGGGGGGGGGGCTACACAACGTGTTAACTCAGTGCTGGAGCAGATTTATCGCTGGGGGCTGCATGACGTGTTAACTCGGTGCTGGAGCAGACTTATCGCTGGGGGGGGGGGGCTGCTCATCATGTTAACTCGGTGCTAGATGTACTATTTT